TAGGCAACAGGAGGCAATGATGCGGTAGTGGTGATGGTGGTGGTAGCAGATGCCTGAATCAGCTGTGGCCATGGCCACATGGATTTTTACATTTATCAGATTCAGATTCACCCACCTACGTGGCAGCTTCCCTGTTGGGCCAGTTCTGGTGTGCTGTTCTGAAAGTCATTCTAGGAGGCACAGTAGAGGGACTGCTGCTTCAGCCCTGGCAATAATCTTTCAGGCACCTAATTCCTGATGCTATATAGTCTTTTTGTTTACAATTGGTATAACGGTTTCTGTTTCCTATACCTGAACTCTTTTACAATGGGGGTCTTTGGAAGTACAAAGAGCTGAGAGCCATGGAGAAAAATTCTAGCATTTGGCTATAGAAAAAGGACGACCACGGGACTGTTCTTGCTGAAATGCCCATGAAAAGCTAGAAAGTTGATTTTTATGCCTATCTGTATTGCAATTTGGTCAGAGGGCTTAGATTTAAAACTTGCCCTAGGAAAGTTTCATTCATTTAGTCATTCAACAAACCTTTATTTTCTGCCAGGAACTACAGTAGGCACTGTGGCTAAATAAAGAATAAGCCATAATCCTTGCTCTCCAGGTGCTTGGAGCAAACATCCAAAGTAAAACCGAAGGCAGCTTGGAAGAAGCATCTTAATCAAAGTTTGGGAATAAGACCAAGTTTAGATTAAACTGTGATTGATGACAGTTAAAATTACCCGATTCCATAGACCTGTTTCCCTTAAATTCTTTTTGGAGCTGACATGAGTCAGTAGATAAATATCCTCGCCTATGTGTTTCACTGAAAAGCTTGTTTCCTAAGCATCTTCCCCAAGTGGAGTGTTTGTTTCATATGCATTAGCAAAGAATTATATTTTTCATTTAAAAAATATCTAGAAATGTTATTCAGAACTAGAACTGAGGTACAACACACATACTGTGATTTGGAGTGTGATATCAAGAGATCTATCACCAGCTCGGTGCAAAGCGCTCCAACTCTGGGAAAAATACAGTATCCTAAATGATAAATTTGCAAAATTAAACTTTTAATGCAACAACAATAAGGTGTCACTGGCTATTGCTTTATCTACACACAAAAGTTTTTGACAATATTGACCAATTATTAGGTTGGTCCAAAAGTAATTGCAGTTTTTGTCATTTAAAGTAATGGGAGGACAGACAGAGTGGCTTATGCCTGTAATCCCAGCACTGTGGGAGGCCGAGAAGGGCAGATTACCTGAGTTCAGGAGTTCAAGACCAGCCTGGCCAACATGGTGAAACCCTGTCTCTACTAAAAAATACAAAAATTAGCTAGATGGTGACGTACTGGCAGACGCCTGTAATCCCAAGCTACTTGGGAGGCTAAGGCAGGGAGAATTGCTTGAACCTGAGTGGCAGAAGTTGCAGTGAGCCAAGATTGCACCACTGCACTCCAGCCTGGGTGACAGTGAGACTCTATCTCAAAAAAAAAAAAAAAAGTAATGGGAAAACTGCACCAATGGTGCAAAAAATGCACTTCTGCACCAACCTAATATATTGACCATTTATTTTAACATGTACAAAACAAAAACAGAACTCTTCTTCATTTTATTTCCCAAACATTAGTGTCCATGAGGGCAGGAACCTTTCTTATTTTGTTCACTGCCACATCTCCAGCAACTAAAATAGACTTTAGCACATAGCTGGGCTCAATGAATATTATTTGAATGTTAAATACATCTTTTTAAAAGATTTTTCTGGGCCAAGCACAGTGGCTCATATCTGTAATCCCAGTATTTTGGGAGGCTGGGGTAGGAGGATTGCTTGAGGCTAGGAGTTTGAGACCAGCCTGAACAACATAGTAAGACCCTTATCTCTACAAAACTTAAAAAAAAAATTAGCCAGGCATGTTGGCAAGCGCCTGTAGTCCTAGCTACTCAAGAGGCTCGGGCAGAAAGATAGCTTGAGCCCAGTGGTTCAAGCTTATAATGAGTTGTGATTGTACCACTACACTCCATCCAGCCTGAGTAACACAGCAAGATTCTGGCTCTGAAAAAAAAAAAAGATCCTTCTGGCTACTGTGTAAAGGATAGGCTATGGGGTGTAAGATGGCAAGCAAGGTGACTACAGTAATTCAGGTAGGCAGGGGAGAGATGGTGGTGGCTGGGATTAGGGTGACTGGTGGAAGTGATGAGTGACCTGATTTGGGATCTCCTTAGAATAAAAACCTGTTAAGACCTGCCAATGGATACGCTATGGAGTGTGAGGAAAAAAAGGGAATCAAGAGTTACTTCTAAGTCATTTGCTAGAGCAATTGGAGGAATCATGGTCCATTTATGGAAACTCTCGGTGTAGAGACAGCTCAGGCAGCAGCCTAAGGCAGGTGTGTACATGGCCTGTTCAAGGAAGAGCAACGAGGCCAGCGAGCAGTGAGCCAGGAAAGGCAGGAGCTAAGGTCGGAGAGGTGTTTGGCACAGACCATGAGGATTTATCGAGGGAAGTGAAGACTCTCGATGTTGTTCTGAGAGATGGGAAGCTCTTGGAGGTTTTGTAGAGTGTTGTAACACAGGATCACGTTTGCATTTTTAAAGGATGACTCAGGCTACTTGTGTAGAAAATCAACCACAGAAATGAAGAACTAGGAATGGAGAGACTGGTTAGAGCTATAGCAGGGGAGCAGGTAAGGGACAGTGGTGGCTTGAACCAGGTTAGTGGCTGTGACGGGGATGAAACCAATGAGATCATGTCTCCTTCCATAACATGCCAAGCTCATTCCCTCCTTCTGGACCCTTCCCTGGTTGCTCCTACTAACTAGGCTGAGCTTCACTCACTATTCCACCTCATGCAGATCTCTCTCCAGTTACCACCTCCTCGGAGGCCTTCCCTGAGGAAGACCCTTTAACATGGTGCCTGGTGCCTCCTCTCTGGCTCCCCTTTCTTTGTTTTATTTTACTCATAGTCTGTGTCAGCCACTGTTTTTATATTTTGTTGACATACTTTTATCATCAACTTCCCCCACTAGGAGGGGGAACTAGGAGGCCAGTTCCATCAGGGCAGAGGCTTTGTTGTACTCACTGCTGCCTCTAGGTCAGTGTCTGCAAACAGTTATTTGTTGAATATCAACAAAGCACTTAGGTAGGTGCTGGGAAAATTTTCTTTATATGACAAAGGGTTTCGTATGCAAATATTCAGTATAAACATGTCTCAAGGACAGGGAGTATTCAAACCTGGCTAAGGAACATGCTATGTTAGGGAACTTTCTACACAGGGGAATTTATTTATTTATTTATTTTGAGACAGGGTCTCACTCTGTCACCCAGGCTAGAGTGCAGTGGCAAAATCATGGCTCACTGCAGCCTCCACCTCCAGGGCTCAAGTGATCCTCCTGCCTCAGCCTCTTGAGTACTGGAATTACAGGCATGCACCACCATGCCCCGCTAATTTTGTTCGTTTTTAAAATAGAGACAATGTCTCACTATGTTGCCCAGGCTGGTCTCAAACTCCTGGCCTCAAGCGATTCTCCCATTTGGCCTCCCAAAGTGCTGGGATTACAGGCATGACCCACTGGCCCCAGCCTACATAGGGGAACTTCCCATTGACATACAGTCAGCTGGTGAGGGGTGAATCAGTAGGTTGATGCTTATGTATGTGAGTACTCTCTTGCACTATGTTGGCCAGGCTTGTCTTGAACACCTGGGCTTAAGAGAGCCCCAAAGTGCTGGGATTGGAAGTGTGAGCCAACACACCCAGGCTGTGTCTGGCTTCCTTTTATTTAACATTAATTCTGTAAGATTCATTCATGCAGGCATTAACAGTTTGTTCTTTTTTCTTGTTATATAGTATTCCGCCATATGAATATGCCCTAATATATTTGTCCATTCATGTGTTGAAGGATACTGGGGTTTTTTTTCCTTCCCTCCCTCCACTTCTTCCTCTGGAACAGGGTCCCACTCTGTTGCTCAGGCTGTAGTACAGTGGTGCCATCACAGCTCACTGCAGGCTCATTCATTTTTTATTTTTTGTAGAGACAGGATCTCACTATGTTGCCCGAGGTGGTCTTGAACTCCTGCACTCAAGCGACGCTCCTGCCTCAGCCTCCCAAAGTGCTAGGATTATGGGCTTGAGCCACCGTGCCCAGCGTGATATTTTTGAAAGAACACCCTGGCTACCAGGGTGGAAATCGAACTGGTGGCAGGTAGGGGTGGATCAGAGAGAGGAAGCTGACAGACCAGGTAGGAGGCTGGTGTAGTCATGCAGGGAAGATATGAAGGTGGCTTGGCCCAGTGTGGTCATAGAGGAGTCATAGAGAAATGGATCACTCAGAAAATGCTCTGGAATTGTAGCTGATGGGACTGGCTGAGAGGAATGAAGGGTGGGAGAAAGAGGCACCAATGGTGAGTCCTAGATTTCTGCCTTGAAAACCTAGGTGGATGGCTGGGGGCAGTGGCTCACACCTGTAATCTCAGCACTTAGGGAGGCTGAGGTGGGTGGATCACCTGAGGTCAGAAGTTTGAAACCAGCCTGGTCAACATGGTGAAATCTCGACTACTCAGGAGGTTGAGGCAGGAGGATCACTTGAAACCGGGAGGCGGAGGTTTGCAGTGAGCCAACCTCACCTGCACTACACCTGGCTAATTTTTGTACTTTTTAGTAGAAAAGAGTGTTTCACCATGTTGACCAGGCTGGTCTTGCACTCCCGATCTCAGGTGATCCGCCTGCCTCAGCCTCCTGAGTAGCTGGGATTACAGGTATGCACCACCACGCCTGGCTAATTTTTTGTAATTTTTAGTAGAAAGAGGGTTTCACCATGTTGGCCAGGCTGGCCTTGAACTCCCGATCTTGGGTGATCTGCCTGCCTCGGCCTCCCAAAGTGCTAGGATTACAAGCATGCGCAACCGTACCTGGCTGCCCACATTTTCAAAGTCACTCCAGAACAGCCCTGCTCAGGCAGCACGGGTGGCATCCCCTCTCCCCTCCCTCAGCCCTTCCCCAGCCTCAAAGAAACAGAATGGAGAACAGCAGGCAGGTTGATTCATAGACTTTACTGGATTTTTCCCCACCCAGCGGTTTCTGCAATGACAACCGAACCTGTACAATACATGTGGTTCACTCTGTTAAAGCTGCAGGGCAAGGGGAGGGTTCTGGGAGTCCCTGGGCAGACGTCAAGGCTAAGGGTGGGCAGCAGCCAAGACTGGGCCAGTGGGTCCCAGTGTTCCACCCAGACGGTGGCGGTAGCTGGAGTTCAAAGGCTGCTGGAAGGAGTCGGGAAGAAGGCTGGAAGCCTGGGGCTGCAGGGAGAGGAGAGCACATCAGCAGCAGCAGGGAGGAGGCAGGGAGCAGGAGGGTGCCATGGACACCGTGGACACCGAGAGGGCAGGAGGGCGTGGGACACAGTGCCTGCATATGTCCATAGAGGATTTTTGCCACAAGAACAAGACAGATCGCTGTATAAAAGGGTCTGTACAACATTACCTATGATACAATGTTCACATATGATACAAGGCTCTTTCCCTCTTTGAGTTTTAAAAAATAAATGTACAATTCCAGAGCTTTGGGTAAAAAATATATACACCCTCATAGCAGGAGCAGTAGCTGCTTTTGCTGCTGCTGCTTCCTCTTCAAAAGGGAAAGAGGTGGTGCCAGAAAGAAGGGTGAGGCTGCGCCTGGAAACCTCACCCTGCAGCTGCCAGGAGCCCCTGCACTCCTCAGGCCTTGAGGCTGGTGATGGGAGAGGGAGGGGGGCAGAGGTAATAAAGGCCTCACCAGAGTCCGGTGACGCCTTTACAGTCTCTGCCATCCCCCTCCCCCACTATGGGGCTGCCTGCCCCATTATAGGGATCCACCCTACCCCAGCTCTATGGGGAGGACAAAGGAGGAGTTGAGACAGGGAGAGGGACAGAGACCACGTTGTTGGTGTCAGACACATGAGCCAGAAGGGGGAGGCCAACTCCCTCCTTAGTGGTTAGACACCCAAAAAGCAGGAGTATGTGCAGCAGACACCCCTAGCTCCTGATACTGCTCTACCCCACCACACTGCAAGGCAGGGGAAGGGTTCTCTATGCAGCTGAGGCCTGTATTTCCCTGAGCATCTTTTACCCTCTCATCAGAGCCCACCCCTGGACCTTCCGGAGGCCTAAGTGGGGGACTTGCAAGGGCTGATGGGTAACCCCTCCCACCTGCTGCTACTCCCTGCCCTGAAAAGCAGCTTGGCTCACAAGCCTGGGCAGGCAGGGCAGCACGAGGAGCTGAGCAGGGAGTGTAGGGGCGGAGAAAGCACCCTGCACCATCCCAGGGGCAGAGTAGACAAGGGTAGCACCAAACAGAAGGACCCCTCCCCGGCACACACAACACCCTCCCTCAATTACCAGATGGACTCATGCTCCCTAAAAGGGGGGAGAGAGAGAGAGAGAGAGAGAGAGAGAGAGAGAGAGACACACACACACACACACACACACACACACACACACACACGGCAACATAATATTCCTGGGGGTCTCAGCCCTGACCAGGAAGAAGCTGGACAGGTGGTGGAGAAGAAGGCTGCCAATCCCTCCCACCATCCCACTTGGCAAGACAGAAGGGTCGGCAGCTTTCTTTCCTTCTTGGGAAGAGGAAATTGGAAACTCCATCCCCAGAACAGATCTTGATGGGAGCGGACAGAGGAAGGAGTTTTCTGACCCCTTTCTCAGAAGGGACAGGAACCAGCAAAGTGTGGTTTTGGCTTGAAGGAGCAATGGGGAGAGGGCTCCAGCAGGATGAACAAACTTATGGGTCCAAGGGTAAATCCATCCAACTCTTTCCTGTGGAGCAGGGGTGGGTGGGCAGGATGTTGTTCCTCAGGAAAGATGTCAGCTGTCGGTTGAGACATTGTGCAAAGTGCTTGAGTGCCAGGTGCCCAAGGATCTGGTGGGTCTGACTAGAACCTCCACTCTCACTGACTATTTGCCTCCAGCTTGTAGGAGAGCTCGAAGAGGAGGTTCTGGTTGTCGATGACCTGGAACTGGCGCACATAGGCCTTGGTCTGCAGGTGATGGGGGGATGCCTCCATGTCCAGGCCTAGGGGGTAAAGAGGCAGTCAGGTTCCCAGGCTCCCTTCTTCCTCTACACACACACGGGGCAGAGGATCAGGCTGTGGACTGAGACAGATGTTGGGCAGGAGGGCCTCTAGGGAGGCAATGAGAGAATGCGGAACTGGCAAGTGTATGGAAATACACATTTGGACAGGGAGTTCTCCCCTGAACGCTCCTGCTCAGTCAAAGCTCTACCTGTACTGCTCTCAGAATCCTGGGTACTCACAAAGGGGCCGGCTCCGGTATTTGCGGATTGTCCTCACTTTTTCGGCCACTGAATGCTGGGAGATGACAAGGAATGAGCCCTGAAAGGGGCACAGAAAGAGGCTCCCCCTCTTCTGCTCCCCCTCCGCCATTCTCCAACTCTGCTTTTCTCCCTCCAGTCTCCAATTCTGGAGGGTCTCTGAAGGACCAAAGGGGTGGGTGTAACAGGGTGCCAGGTGAGGGGGAGGTAGAGTTGCCCCCAAGCTGCCTGTCAGCTCTGCCACCCGTGGGCGGGTTGCCACAGTGATGCCACCAGGGAGACAATCAAGAGTCTGCTAGGCAAGCTGGGCACATGCAGGAAGCCTGCTATTCTGGGGAGGTGATGAGAGGGAGAGGATGCAAGCTCACCACTTGTGGGACTAGGGGTTTGCAGTGCCACTCACTCACCAGCTTCTCAATGTTCACCAAACCATCTACAAGGGTCTTACTCCCTTCGTGCAGGAAAGTCAGATCTAGGAGATGCAGAGAATCCAATGTGAGGAAAGGATAAGAGAGGCGGTCCAAAGGACCACTGCACCCAAGGACCCCCCCTTCCCCAGAATCCACTCTGCCTGGGGTGGGGGGCTCCTCTCCAGGCGGGCACTCAGAGCTGAGTCAAGATGGGGGTTGGAAGTCAGAACTGGGGCATGGGAGAAGGGAAACATGGGTTGAAGTAGCACAGCTTGGGAGCAACTCTCTCACCTTTGAGGATCAGAGGCATGAAAGGAATCACAGGGGGCTTCATTTTGGAGATCACTTCTCGGTAGCTTTTGTGGTTCCTGCAGGGGTCCTGGCATTCCACAGGAGAGAGATCAAGGGAGAGACTGGCCAATGAATACCAAAGATGTCCCTCACTTCCTCCCTCACTCCCTGCCCTGGGGACTTTCTTTCTTTCTTTTTTGAGACAGAGTCTCACTCTGTCGCCAGACTGGAGTGCAGGGGTACGATCTCAGCTCACTGCAACTTCTCCCTCCCAGGTTCAAGCGATTCTCCTGCCTCAGCCTCCCGAGTAGAGTAGCTGGGACTACAGGTGCCTGCCACCACGCCCAGCTAATTTTTGTGTTTTTTTTGAAGTACAGACAGGGTTTCACCATGTTGGTCAGGAGAGTCTTGATCTCTTCACCTGGTGATCTGCCTGCCTCAGCCTCTCAGAGTGCTGGGATTACAGGTGTCAGCCACCGCATCTGGCCAGGTGCTGGGGGCTTTCTAATGGTGTGGTGGGGAAGGGCATGACTGCTCCCCCTTTCCAGGAAAAACAGGGGCACAATCCTTCCACCCTCCCCCTCCAGCATGGTAGGGAGGGTGGGGGTCTCATGCACTAAACACTTTGAAAAGAAAGCTTGAGGAAGAGGGTTTGTGGGAACAGAGGGTTTCTGAGCTCTAAGTCCAAGAGCAGAAGAAAGAGCCAACCCACTCACCGTGAGGTTCTCAAATTTGCGGAACAAATTCTTGAATTTCCCTGGCAGCTTCTGCAGTTTGAAGGAAGGAGAAGGGATATCAGAGTGGAGCTTCTTGGGTTACATGGGAGCCTTGGATTAATCCTCCGTGTTGGAGGGCAAAAGGGCCAGCATGGCTTGTAGGAGGCTGGGAAGCTGGGGGGTGGGGAAATGAAGTCAGGCCTTGGCTAGGTCTAGAAGCTAGAACAGCCCGGAGGAATTCATTATTCTGGGGAAAGCCAGACCTCTGTTTATGCAGGCGCCGTGTACAAGGGTGCCCCCTACTGAGTGTGGCTGAATATCTGCCCGACTCCCACAGCCAAGTCTGTGACCTGACCTGGCCAAGGGCTGCCTGCCGCGACTCAGGCAGGTTCCTGACTTTTCACTGTTTTGCCCAAAGACCGGGTCTAAGCTGTGCGCCCTAGGGTTGCATCTACCAGAAGAGGGCGCCTCCCTCCAATGGCACAAAGACTCCCTCCAGGTCGGCGGCCGTCGCGGGCGGGGGAGGATCCACAGCGGAAAGCCCGGGATGCCCAGGTCCCCAGGTAGGAAAGGGAGGGGTCTCCTCACCTCCCAGGTGAGACGAAGGCGGCTGACGGCGGCGTTGTCCAGCCCCATGACCACGGCGTAGAAGGACAGCAGGTCCTGATTCTGCTTGCAGCTGCGGGGATGGGAGGCGGGGTCAGGGGCGGGCGGTGCCGCAGGCCTCGGGCCTGGGGCTCCCCCTCCCGCCGCCGGCCGCACTCACAGGGCGGCGATCTTGATGAACTTCTTGAGCAGCTGCGCGCGCTTGCCCGGGGCTTCGCAGAGCAGCACCTCGGTGGCCACCCAGTGCGTGACCTCGCTGCAGCGCTGCAGCAGTAGCTCCAGATTGGCCGTCTCCCGGCGGCCGCGCTCCCCGTGGAACACGTAGTCCACGAACTCCAGCTGCATCCACGGTGGCGGAGGGGCGGCCAGGGCGGCCCGGGCGCGGGGGGGGTGAGGGGAGTGCGTGGGAAGATGGCAGTGCAAGGCGAAGGGGAACGAAAGGCAGGAGGGCGGGGGCGGAAGGGGTGGAAAATAGAAAAATAGACGGGACAAGAGGCGGCAAAGATGCGGAAAAAAGAAAACAACATGAATAATATTTCACCAGCTACTGAGCACTTACTAGGCACTTGCTCATGGCTGACATCCTTAAGACAACCATCTGCTAGGCATTATTGTCGCTGCCTTATTTTATTTTTTATTTTTGAGACGGAATTTAGCTCTTGTTGCCCAGGCTGGAGTGCAATGTCGGGATCTCGGCTCACCGCAACCTCCGCCTCCTGGGTTCAGGCAATTCTCCTGCCTCAGCCTCCCGAGTAGCTGGGATTACAGGCACGCGCCACCATGCCCAGCTAATTTTTGTAGTTTTAGTAGAGACGGGGTTTCACCTTGTTGACCAGGATGGTCTCGATCTCTTGACCTCGTGATCCACCCGCCTCGACCTCCCAAAGTGCTGGGATTATAGGCGTGAGCCACCCGCCCGGCCGTCTCTACTAAAACTACAAAAATTAGCTGGGCATGGTGACGCGTGCCTGTAATCCCAGCTACTCGGGAGGCTGAGGCAGGAGAATTGCCTGAACCCAGGAGGCGGAGGTTGCGGTGAGCCGAGATCCCGCCATTGCACTCCAGCCTGGGCAACAAGAGCTAAATTCTGTCTCAAAAAAAATACAAATCCTGGGTCAGGTTCTGTGTAAGTAGCACCAGCCCTGAGCCACTCTACTCTGGGGTCTCTCTGCGACTTTTTTTCGAATGGTGGGACAAAGACTGAGGGAAGTTACAGCCATGCATTGCCCCAGGGTTTGCTGCAGGTGAGCCTTTGAACCAGGACGTTCTGCTGCCAACACCGTCTCCTAATGGCACATTTCTCCCTCCAGCCCCCGAGCACAGCGCCAGCCTTGGTCCCCACCTCGTGCACACATCGGAACAGCTCCCAGTGGAAGGCAGTAAGGTGGTTGGCAACGTCCTCAGGCTCCACTCGGTGGATCTCTGTGTCTCCCGGGGAGACCTGGATCTCCTCAGGGAGGGGCACCTGGGGGCAGGGGCATAGTGGCTGGGCTCCTGGTGGTGGGGCTGGAACTGATCACAGCCCTCCTCAGCCCTCCATTCCAGCCAAGGCCTTGGGAAAGAGTTCTTACCAGAGCCTCATAGCTGTCCCGGGTGCAGGCAAACAGGTGGCTGTTGATGCCCAGTGTGGTAAAAACACAGTCCTCAGTGGGCTGGAGAAGGACCTTCTCTGCAGGAGAACAAGCTGCTCAGCCTCAGCCCCTGCCGCCTGCACCCTCACACACCCCACACTGGCACTGTCCTATCCAAAAACTCCTCACCCACACTGACACATTCTAGACTAACAGAACTCATAGTCTCACCAGTTTATGCCATATTTATCTGGAATTTGTAAAATGATGATTTCTTTTGCATTTATAACTTTTTTCTACTCCCTTTTTTTTTTTTACAGACTTTCTCTTGTTCTGTTGTCCCTGTGACACTGGAAAGGCTGAAATTTTTTCCTACTGTAGAGGAAAACAAGCCTTCAGTGACATTGCTGGCTTTCTGCCTTCCCATGGGGATTAAAGCCTCATCTTGTGTCTTCAGCGTGAGAAATGTGGCATCCTTACATACACAGGAAGGTTAAAGGACCAGAACACAATCCACAGGTGAGTGAGGGGCAGCACCCAGATCAGACCTGAGTCCTACTAGGTCTGTCGTCCAGGCTGGAGTGCAGTGGTGCAATCTCAGCTCACTGCAACCTCTGCCTCCCAGGTTCAAACAATTCTCCTGCCTCAGCCTCCCAAGAAGCTGGGATTACAGGCGCCTACCACCACACCCGGCTAATTTTTGTATTTTAGTAGAGACAGGGTTTTGCCATGTTGGCCAGGCTGGTATTGAACTACTGACTTCAGGGTATCCACCTGGCTCAGCCTCCCCAAGCGCTGGGATTGCAGGCATGAGCCACCTCACCCTGCCTTTTTTTTTTTTTTTTTTTTGAGACGGAGTTTTGCTCTTGTCACCCAGACTGGACTGTAGTACATTTCGGCTTACTGCAACCTTCACCTCCCAGGTTCAAGTGATTCTCCTGCCTCCTCCTCCCAAGTAGCTGGGATTACAGGCACCTGCCACTATGCCCGGCTACTGTCTCCCAAACTTTAGTAGGCACAAGAGTCCCCAAGCTGATCTTGTTCAAATGCTGATTTGAATAAGACCAGCAGGTCTGGGGTTGGGGTCTCAGACGGTGCATCTCTTTTAGAGACAGAGTCTTGCTATGTTGCCCAGGCTGGAGTGCAGTGCCTATTCACAGGTGCAATCATAACGTTCTATAGCCTTGGATTCCTGGGCTCAAGCAATCTTCCTGCCTCAGCCTCCTGAGTAGCTGGGACTGTAGGCTTGCCCCACTGCAGCCAGCAAGTTGCTGCATCCTAACAAGCTCCCAGGTGATGCACATGAGGCTGGTCCCAGGACCATACTTTGAGTAGCAAGGGCCTAGAATTCAGTCTCTACCCCTCCCCCTCTCCTCAGGAGCCTCAGCCCTGTTCTTCCTGACCCTACCTCCTGAGGAGGCCACAGCTACCAGGATAAGGGAGTCCTCACGCCCCGCAGGCTCTTCTGAGTACTGAAGTTTCTCCGTCACAGAGCCCAGAATGTCCTGCACAGATGCTGAAAGGCGACTGCGTATGGTCACGTAAGAGTGGTCAGGCATGTATACCCGGCAGAAGACTGATGGAAACAGGAAAATGGCTTTCAACAGAGGGCAGAGTGGCAGCAGCTAGCACAGTCTCCTCTAGGATGCCTCTGTTCCCCATCAGAGGCTGGCCTCTGAAGAAGGTCCTGTGAAAGGGGCTGGTTCTACCACCCAGGGAGATGCCACCGAGGGTGCCCAAGACCCAGAGACCCCACATGTCCCCCTGAGCCACTAAGAACACCTCGTCCTTCCTAATACCCACACTCACTCTCATCAGAGCCCCGAAAGGCCACCCTGGTCTGCAGACAGGAGTCTATCCGGCGGAAGTGGCGGAAGAGTGGCTTCACCTGCTTGCTAGGTGGCTGGCTCTCCTCTGGAATCCTGGCATGGACAAGCTGGGCATCAGCACACCCTGCCAGGCATATGGTCAACCAACACCAAGCAGGCAACATCAAGCAGGAATATCAGAATTGGGTCAAGGCTGTACCAGCACCAGTTTCAGAAGGTGGTTAAGGGGGTGAGAAGAGAGGACAATGAGCAGTATGGGGTAATTGTCCAAGTATTTCTAACCAAATGCCACGTCTTCCATGAATTCTCCTCGGATCCGTCCCACCCACCCGGAAGGTCACTTTCTTGTCTCAGCTACTATAGAACTTGGGGATAATGTTTATATTCACCTCTTATCTCTTCTATGAGATTGAGAGCTTTTGAGGACTGGGATTTGGTTCTATTTTTTTTTTTTTTTTGAGATGGAGTCTTGCTCTGTCGTCCAGGCTGGAGTGCAGTGGCATGATCTCTGCTCACTACGACCTCCACCTCCCAGGTTCAAGTGATTCTCCTGCCTCAGCCTCCCAGGTAGCTGAGATTACAGGTGCCCACCACCACGACCCGCTAAGTTTTTAGTAGAGATGGAGTTTCACCATGTTGGCCAGGTTGGTCTCGAACTGCTGACTTCATGATCTGCCTGCCTTGGCCTCCCAAAGTGTTGGGATTACAGTCATGAGCCACCACATCCGGTCAGGAATTTGGTCCTTACTGAGTATTTTTTTCATATCCTCCAGGGCCTAGCATACTGCTTGGCACATGGTAGGTAGTAGGTCATCAGTTAGTTGTTTGCTGAATTTGCTGACCAGAACTTCACGGTCTGGGAAGGAGACAGATGGGCATACAGCTACTTCTAACACCAGGCAAGAGGTGTTGGTGATATAACAAAGGTACCAGAAGAGTTATGCTGATGTGGGGGAAGGAGAAAGCCATTCCTAAAAGGATCTGGGAAGTTTTCATTGAGAAGATGGCATTTGACTGGGCTTTGGAGGAGAGCAGGAAGAGAAGGGGGTGGAGGCCAGGTGCAGTGGCTCACACCTGTAATCCCAGCAATTTGGGAGGCCGAAGTGGGCTGATCACTTGAGGCCAGGAGTTCAAGATCAGCCTGGCCAACATGGCAAAACCCCATCTCTACTAAAAATACAAAAATTAGCCAGGCATGGTGGTGTGCACCTGTAATCCCAGCTACTTGAGAGGCTGAGGCACAAGAATCCAAAACTGTTTGAACCTGGGAGGTGGAGATTGCAGTGAGCCAAAATTGTGCCACTATACTACACCCTGAATGACAGAGCAACACTCTGTCTCAAAAAAAAGAACAAAAAGAGAAGGGGGTAGGGCATTCTGGGGTGGACAATATAACTGACCGTGGGAAGTTGGAGAGTGCAGGAGTTGCAGTGTCAGAACAGGATGTGGTAGGTAAGACGGGAAGGAACAGCAGAAGGCAGAAAGGGAAGGGTGTTGAATGCTGGGATGTTTCACTTTCTCTTAGAAGCATGGGGAGCAGGGATGCCTTTGGAACAGGAGGATTGAAGATCTCTCTAGTGTCAGCACAGAGAAGGGAGAGAAGGATGCCACACCACAAGCTGAGGACTCCATAAGGGTTGTGGTGGTAGGGAAGGAGAAGAGAGAAACTAAAAGGGCAGGATGGATGGATGGACGGATGGACGGACGGACGGACGGACGGACGGACAGATGAATGCAATCTGTTTACACTGGCTCACAAGAGCAAATTGTTAAGTTCTGGGGAATTTTGCCAACTGGTTTTTAAAGAGCCATTAAAATATAATAAATATATATGTTTTGTAAGCTTATAGTCGGACCAGGTGTGGCGGCTCACACCTAGAATCCCAACACTTTGGAAAGCCGAGGTGGGAGGATTGCTTGACCCCAGCCTGGACAACATAATGAAACCCTGTATCTAATAAAAAATAATAAAAATTAACAATTAATACATAAAACTTATACTCAAATAAGTTATTACAAAAAAGGTAGTTTCCTTCCTGTTTCACATTTTTTTTTGTGGGGAGACACAGTCTCTGTCACCCAGGCGTGCAGTGGTGTGATCTTGGCTCACTGCAACCTCCACCTCCTGGGTTCAAGCGAGTCTCATGCCTAGCCTCCCAAGTAGCTGAGACTACAGACGCACGCCACCATGCCCAGCTAATTTTTGTATTTTAGTAGAGACGGGGTTTCACCATGTTAGCCAGGATGGTCTCGATCTCTTGACCTCATGATCCACCCGCCTCAGCCTCCCAAAGTGCTGGGATTATAGGCGTGAGCCACCACGCCCGGCCGTTTCACTACCTTTTACCACACCTACTGTATGGTGGAGATACTACATAACGGCCTGTGCTGCACGTCTCTTCCCAACTCCTCCTTCAGTGTTGGTAGCTTGAAATCAGCCATAGTGACAGAGTTTACACTGTAGGAATCAAAGCTACAAATCAGGGCTTTTTCTCCTGCAGCACTGATTGTTAAATATTTACCAGTACACCACTGGATTATCGGACAATAGAGAGGGAGAATGGACAAAAAAAAAGTGACTGGAGACAGTGCTTTGTGCCACCTCCAGTGAGAGATAGGAGCTGAAATAAAACCGTATTGGAAGCTGGGCACAGTGGCTCACACCTGTAATCCCAGCACTTTGGGAGGCTAGGGCAGGCAGATCACTTGAGGCCAGGAGTTTGAGACCAGCCTGGCCAACATGGTGAAACTCATCGCTAGTAAAATTATAAAAGTTAGCTGGGCATGGCACACACTATAATCCCAGCTACTCGGGAGGCTGAGGTATGGGAATCACCTGAACCCAGGAAGTGGAGGTTGCAGTAAGCCAAGACTGTACCACTGCTCTCCAGCCTGGGTGAGAGTGAGACTCTGTCTCAAAACAAACAAATCCATATCGGAGCCAATAGGCCAGAGGCACCCCTGTAATAGAGGAACACAGGGGATCTCTTTCCTGTTCCCGCCCTTGCCCCATTCCCCCTCACTTTAGTTCCACCGTCTCCACCAGCTGGTGCAGCCTCAGAGTGTCCTCTCTGAGGCCCTGGTAAAGGGACTCATCCTTCATAATTAGCAGGTATAGATCCTAGAGAGAGGAGGACAAAAAAGATGAAGGAAGGGGTCTCATCCCAAGGTCTAATCTCTGCAAGGTCCAGACAAGGTCTCCATGCCTTTGAGCATAGAAGAGCCATATAAGCTAAGGCCCCCTGGCATCTCTTCCTTCCACATGCCCAGCATCAGAAGTATGGCTCCTTCACAGGGGCCTCCTTCTAGACCTGAGAGCTTGTTTACCCACCTTCTCTTCCCCGAGGCCCACCTTGATGATGTGGCCGGCCCCCTCTTCCTCTTGAAGCAGTCCCTGGTAGGTGTCCAAGAAATGGAGAAGCATGGCTAGACAGGCCTGCTTCTGGCCCAGCCCCTCAGGGCCCTCCATGCCCCCTGCGCGAACAAAGCTGACCTTAAGTTAAGAAAAACCCCTAGGCAAGCAGACCTGAGGAACTGAGGAGAAAGATGGGAGGATAGGCTGGGCGCAGTGGCTCACACCTATAATCCCAGCACTTTGGGAGGCTGAGGTGGGCAGATAACCTGAGGTTAAGAGTTTGAGACCAGTCTGGCCAACATGGTGAAACCCCATCTCTACTAAAAATACAAAAATTAGCCGGGCATGGTAGTACATGCCTGTAATCCCAGATACTTGGGAGGCTAAGGCACAAGAAAGGCTTAAACCCGGGAGGCAGAGGTTGCAGTGAGCAGAGATCACGCCATTGCTCTCCAGCCTGGACAACAGAGGAAGACTCCATCTCGAAAAAAAAAAAAAAAAGAAAAAGAAAGAAAGAAACACTGGGCATGGGGGTTCATGCCTGCAATCCCTGCACTTTGGGAGACCAAGATGGGTGGATCGCTTAAGGTCAGGCGTTGAAGACCAGCCTGGCCAACATGGTTAAACCCCATCTCTACTAAAAATATAAAAAAATAGCTGGGCGTGATGGTGGACACCTGTAATCCCAGCTACTCAGGAGGCTGAGGCAGAAGAATCACTTGAACCCAGCCAAGGTTAGGCCATTGCACTCCAACCTGGGCAATAAGACTGAAACTCCATCTTAAAAAAAAAAAAAGATGGGAGGCTAAATTGCTCCCAAATATTCTCTAGACTTGGGGCTAGAGAGAAAGGAGTTTCAGGGGCCCTGAAGCCAAGATCTCCTCATGCCCCAGCACAGGTTTTTGCTTAGAGTAGGTAGCAATGGCACCCAGTTGACCACATCCAGCTCCTGCAGGTTAGACAGGTTAGATTTTCACTTGAGGATACCCTGCCCAGACCCACCTAACCCCTGTCCAGCCCAGAGCCTGGAGCTCACAGTGCACCTAATAAAGGCCAATGGTGCCTAACATAAACCTGACTATATCTCACTGGAAGGCCTGATGTTTCTAAGAGAGCCTGTGACTTTATTTATTTATTTGAGATGGAATCTCGCTCTGTCGACCAGGCTGGAGTGCAGTGGCGCGATCTGAGCTTACTGCAACCTCTGCCTCCTGAGTTCAAGCAATTCTCCTGCCTCAGCCTCCAGAGTAGCTGAGATTACAAGTGCCCACCACAATGCCTGGCTAATTTTTGTATTTTAATAGAGACAGAGTTTCTCTTTGTTGGCCAGGCTGATCTCAAACTCCTGCCCTCAAGTGATCCACCTGCCTCAGCCTCTGAAAGTGCTGGGATTACAGGCATGAGCCACCACACCTGGCCAAGAGCCTGTGACATTCTACTCAGGGGTCTGACATTTACAATTAGGTCCTAGAATAACTCCATGAGAGGCCCATGCTTATGAGACCCTATGAATAGCACATCCAGTGGCTCCTCTCTAGCAGACCCTACTGAAGTACAACCATGACCTGATATTTACATCAGACCACATCATAGCTCACTGGGCAACCAAATATTTTGGAGCAATAATTCAGTGGGGATAGAGGCCCCTTTAGTAGAATAATAACACCTTGGGTGGGTGCAGTGGCTCACGCCTGTAATCCCAGCACTCTGGGATGTTAAAGTGGGTGAATCACTTGAGGTCAGGAGTTCAAGACCAGCCTGGGCAACATGGCAAAACCTTGGCTCCACCAAAAAATACAAAAAGTAGCCAGGTCTGGTGGCACATGCCTGTAGTCCCCAGTTACTGGGGAGGCTGAGGCAAGAGAATCGCTTGAACCCGGCAGGCAGAGTTTTCAGTGAGCCAAGAACACACAACTGCACTCCAGCCTGGGCAACAGAGCAAGACTTCATCTCTAAATAAATAAATAAATAAATAACACCTTTCATTTGTACAGAGCTCTGCAGCCTCCAAAGCACTCTTACATCTGCTATCAGACTGGTCTTCATAGCAGCTCATAGGTAGGTGGGACAGGTACTATTTACCTCTAATTTACAGAAGAGGAAACCGAGGCCCCAGGAGGTTAGGTAATCTGCCCAGGTTACACAGCTGTTGAGTAGAAAAGCTGGGAGTGAAACCCAGATTTATTTATTTATTTATTATTTATTGAGACAGAGTCTCACTCTGTTGCCCAGGCTAGAGGCAGTGGCACAATCTTGGCTCACTGCAACCTCCTCCTCCCAGGTTCAAGCGATTTTCCTGTCTCAGTCTCCTGAGTAGCTGGGAATATAGGTGCATGCCACCACGCCTGGCTCATTTTTCTGTTTTTAGTAGAGATGGTGTTTTGCCATGTTGGTCAGGCTGATCTCGAACTCCTGACCTCAGGTGATCTGCCTGCCTCAGCCTCCCAAAGTGCTGGGATTACAGTCGTGAGCCGCCTCGCCCGGCCCCAGGTATGTTTTCTAGGGGAGAGTTTAGGCTCTGACATTGCATGTGTGATGGAGGGAGTGGCTCCCTCTGACCTCTCCCTTTACAAACTCCACAAAAGGATATTACTGGTGTAGCTCCTGCAGAAATTTCTCCGTCGGGAGGAAGAGAGAATGCGTAAGGACAATGTCATCCAGCAGGATATCTGTAAAGATCAGTGGGCACCACGGATGTCAGGAGGGCACTTCCAGAACGAAACTGGAAACGCAGTGCCTCTCTCTCTTGCCCCTGAGGGCAAGTTCTCTTTAGCCAGGCTGGAGCCCCAGCCACCTGCCCCGTCATGCTCTGCACACGCGCATACACACATGTGTAAAGGTTCTGGGCAGCTGCTGCGGGGGTGGGGTTGGCAGCTGCCAAGGCAGCTGAAGGGAATGGGGGGGCGTGCCTTTGATGGCCACGTGCACTTCTCTTCAGTGTGTGTGGGAAGTTGGTCAGATAACACATCAAGCTTGAGTTCTGCCTGAAAAAAGTAGCCCACAGAAGGGTCTCTAAACAAAGAGTATTTCCAAACACAGAGGTCAGCATCAGTGGGGGGAGTGTGTGTGTTCCTCTTCCCCTCCCCATCTCCTACCTAACAGCTTTGAGTTCTAACTAGGCAGGTGAGAACCAGCCGGATTAAAAGGGAGAGGGAAAGATGCCATTGCTTTGATCTCAGAACCTTTAAATAGAAATCTTGTGTCCTTTGTGTGCCCAGAGACAGAGGGTTAATGAAGGAAAATGGTGAAGAGGAGTGGCTCCTCTCACCACCCCTTTCCCCTCCACACCCCCGTCTGGGCCTGGCTCAGCCAGTCAGCCGGGTACAAGGTCGCCCTGACTTGCAGCCAGCCCTGGGGTGGGGCAGGGCTGCCTGGCGCACACAGGCAAGGTGCAGGGAGGGAGCCAGGGTGTCCTCAACAGGACAGGTTAGGGCCAGGTCCCCAGGCACTGTCCCAGGAAAACAAGGCTTCTGACGGGCCTTGGTTCACCATCCCCTGTGGTCAGTTCTAGTCATGAAGGTGGAGGAGGAAAACCCACACGAGGTAATTTACTTCAACGATTTCATTTCACAAATGAGAAACTGAGGCCCAGAGCTGGGAGGGACTTGCTTGGAGCTGGAATAAGAACCCATAATCCTGAGTCTTCTGTCATTTTTCTCAGTATGCCTGAGGCAAGCAGAGTGTTAGGGGAAAGCCTAGTGGTCAGAGGGGACTGCTTGGATGTTGGAGAGGCTTTGGCTAGGTTTAGAGTAACTTCTGTAAGCTCTCTCCTCCCACACACCCTGGGAGGAGACCAGGATGACTTGAGAACATTGGTTTTATTGGAGAACATCAGAGTGGCAGGTTAAACTGATTCTCATTCACCCTGGGACTGGTTTGGAATTTCCCAAACCAGTTACTCTGGGAATCCAGCCTGCCAGATAACATGGGTGACATTTTAGGAGTCGTACCCCAGGGGAGACTGAGCAGAGTATGTGGCACCAGGCCCCTGTAAAAGGGGAAAGACAGTTTATCCCTTTTCCTCCCTGCCCAGCTACCTTGCTGTGTTCTTACAGTGAGTCAGAGAGCTCCCAGCTCTGACCCCCAGCTTCAGGGATGGGGACGAGGAATTGAGAGGCCTGACATCCTTCATAGACTTTATCTCACAGGATTTCTAAGCTGGAGCGAAGAAAGAGTAAGATGGGGGCAGAGTGGGGGAGATGCTGATATGGGGGCCACAGTTGGGCATCTGTCTTTTCCAAGGCAGGCTCTGGGCCAACGTACAGCCTCCCTAGGGAATGTGTCATAGAGACACAGGGTGTGTGGTGTAGGCGTGAAGTTATGGTTAGGAGAGCTGTGTGTGTCTGATATTTTTCTAATTAAATCCAAAAGGTGTCAGCTCCTCAGGGCAACTACAGCCTGAGCCAAAGGAGAGGACCCAGGTCTTGTGAAGGAGCCCTGCTCCACACATCTAGGTTGGGGTTCCCTGCAGAGGGCTGAGAGCAAGTGTGAAAGCTCTCAGCATTAGGGCCTCAGCCGGGGCTCCCAAACCTCAGACTCTCCTGGCTTTGTGCAATGCCTAGAGCTAGACCCAAAGACCCCTAGGTCTTCTACCTCAGCCACCAACCAGCCATTTGAGGCCTCAGTTTCCTCAAAGGCCCCTTAGTAGAGGTGCTGAAAGGGAGTGGTGAAATAGTATCATCACTTAGGGAAGAAGCTTCTCAGTGAGTGGTAATTATGTTTTAAAGAGGCTGTGTGCTGTGCACGGTGGCTCACGCCTGTAATCCCAGCACTTTGGGATGCCAAGGCGGGTGGATCATGAGGTCAGGAGTTCAAGACCAGCCTGGCCAAGATGGTGAAACTCCATCTCTACTAAAATTACAAAAATTAGCCAGGCACGGTGGCAGGTGCCTGTAATCCCAGCTACTCTGGAGGCTGAGGCAGGAGAATCGCTTGAAACCAGGTGGCAGAGGTTGCAGTGAGCTGAGATTGTGCCACTGCACTCCAGCCTGGCTGACAGAGTGAGACTCCATCTCAAAAAAAAAAAAAAAAAAAGAGGCTGTGTGCTGAGGTCTGCCACGGGAAGGGAAGGGTGGAAGCTGGAGGCACTCAAACACCCTGGGTGCTACAGGGCCCTGATGCCAGCCCAGCCACGTCTCCCCTCCCAGACACCTTCTGAGTCCACCCCCAAGGAGAACGCTATCCTCCCCACCCCACCCACCAAACTGCTAAGGACAACGAATCCCTTTGCTGATGCCTAAAAGGCAGCTTGGGGCCTGTTCCTGTTCCCCCTGGGTAGGTCAGCCTGCACTGTGCAGGCCTCTGAACAGTCAGGGACCCCAGGGTTTTCAGAGCTCAAGCACCTCTGGTGGGTGGCATGGCTGCACTGGGCAGCTTCCATCTTAATGTGTTGGGCCCTAATTTGGGCCCACAGAAGGAGGTATTCAACATCAGGGACCCATGGAAGTCAATGGCTACAATGCCCAGGGGAAAGGAAGGGTGGCTGAAGGAGAGGAAGAGGCTCAGCTGCTTCTCCAGCCGGGGGGTGAGGCTGCTGCAGGGAGGAAGGTGGGTACTGCCCTGCTCTTCCGCGGGAGGGTCTGTGCCTCCGCTAGGGCCCTGGCCAGCTTCCGCGGACCACTCAATCCTGTACCCAGGCCACAGCACGGCGCCACCCCCATGCTCCAAGGGCAAAGAAGAGGATGCGGGGTCAGCCCCTGCTCCGGGTGTTCGAGCGCGCCAGCTCCTTACCTGAGGCGGCGCTGTCCCTGGTGGTCCCTCCAGCCAGTCGCTCCAGAACCCGGTTCAGAAGATGCTCCGGCCGCTCGGGGGCGCCCAGGGGGTTCCAGGGCGGCGAAGTCAAGGGCTCACCCGGGGACAGCTCGTCAGAGGAGTAGGAGGAAGGGGAGCGCAGGGGCCCCCCTCCCCCGAGCGGTCCCGGCCCCTGCACCTCCTCCAGCTGCAGCCAGCAAGGCCCCCCGCTGCCCGGCTCCTCCGCGACCCCCGCCGGCTCTCCCCCTTCCTCCTCAGGGGGCGGCTCTAGGCGCGGGTCGGCGGGAGGCTCCCGGAGGAAAGCGGGGAGCAGAAGGCGAGACACGCTCTGACGCCGCTGCAGCGACCGCGGTCCCCCGGCTGGACCGCCGCCCCCGCCAGGTCCCCCACCCCCTCCAGGCCCGCCGCAGCTCCCCGGACCCCCGCCGGGACCTCCCGCCACCGTTCGGCCAGCCAGCTGCGACGTCTGCTTCTTCAGAAATTTCTCCAGCGGCTTCATGCCCCCCCCCGCCCCTCTCCTAGGGGCCGCCGGGGGACCCAGGTGTCCCTGGCGCGGGCGGGGGGGGCGCGGGGACACGATGCTCAGAGCTGGAGGAGCAGAGTAGAGGGCCGTGCTAGGCGCCGGACTAGGGGCCAGAGGTGCCGAGCCTCGCTGGCCAGAGTCCAGTGGCCAGTAGCCGGGGGAGGTGCCAGAGGGAAGGAGTGCCGGCTCTCAGCAGCCCCCCATGCCGCTGTAGCCGGCACGCGGCCCGAAGAGTGGGCAGGCTGCGGGGCCGGTGCCCCCGGCTCTGCGCTCCCGGGCTGGGCTGCGGCGGCAGAAGCAGCGGGCGGAGCGCAAGGCTGAGAGGACGCGGCGGCGGCGGCGGCGGCTGCGCTCCTGGCCGGGTGGGGGGGGGGGAAGGTGGCAGAACCGAGACCGCGCCCCCTCCTCTAGTCCCCGCCCAGTCCCGCCCCTGCCCTTCCTGGGCCCGGTCCCGCGCCGCACGAGGCTTGAACTCGCGCGCTGGGGTTGACCGCGAGGTAAACAGTAAGGGACTTGGGTTCTGAGCAGAAGAAATTAAGGGCAAAGGTGAGGCAGAGATTTACCAATGGAGAAAGATTCTTGGCTCAAGGGATTACCGGGTTCTCAGCATTATTTCAGAGTCAGGTCTGTGGCCTGGACACCTTGACTCACCTACCTGTGTACCCAAGTCAGGCCTACAAATTGCTGAACCCGAGAGTGTGCACCTTTTCCATACTCACAGGAATATATGGACTTTATCTTCCTTCTGTGAGAAGGGCTGGAAAGGAAGGCCTCTTGGGTGAATTAGCATTGGCACTGGAGGCAGTGCCCATTTGTCCTCTCTGGTAAGGCACAATAGGTAGTGTCCGCCTAGTCTGTGGGCAGGTACTGGCAGGCAGGTAGGAGCCAGGCAGGGAGCAGCAGGCTGTGGCAGGTCTAGCTGGGGTGAGGAGATAATAGGCAGCGGGGAGGAGACCAGGAGCACAGGGGCACCTGAGCCCAGCTGGCAGCAGAAGGAAGCAGGGCCATGGAGACAGGTGACAAGCCCCACAAGTGCTACCATCAAGCATAGAGCCCAAGGGTACATAGCCCTGGAGTGGGCAAAGTGGTGCCAAATTGGCACTCCAAGTAATCCTTACTCCTGATGCCTTTGCCAGGAGCGTTGTCCTTAAGGGTATACTGTCCAAGAAGAAGGGGAGTGCAGTGTAAACCCATGCTAAGTGTGAAAACATCCAGGTTAGGTTTACAAGGTGGGGGAATGGCACCAGGTTCTGGATGGATTGAGGCTCCCTGAACAATGCCCCACCCCTGTTTACTGTGCACCAACCAGGCAGGGATAGGAATGCTGATGGCTGGGAGTGGTAGTAAAACTGAACAGGGTGTGTATGACATACGCATCAATGTAGGTACATATCTGGTCCCATGTATGCTAGAGCATGTGTTCACAGAAATAAAGCTCTGCACACCCATCTGTTTGTGGATTTGGAAACAGTAGAAAGAAGAGTGTACAATTTTGGCTAAGAAGCTGTCTTAGAAGTCTGTGTATCGGCTTTCTGTGCTCCCCTTATTGGACACCCCAATATTCCCAAGCTTGAAAGGGGAAAGTGGCTGGAATGGCTTGGAGCTCCCAGGTAGCATTTTATGAACTGAAGAGGAGGAGGGAAGGGCTTCTCTCCCAGCACATGCCACAGTTACCAGATTAAGCCGGTTGCCTTGGTAACCTTCTCTCTGGGCAGGATTTGGGAATTGTTGGTTAGGAAGGGTGAATTGGGGAGTGTGAAGGCTGTGGGGGGGGTTGAAAATAAAAGGGACTGGGAGACTTCTGGAAGCTAGAACCTTGGGGCACAGGACCTCAGCACTCCCCCAAATACTCAAGGATATCAGGCAGAGACAAAGTTAAACATTTTCAAGTCAAGGTCCTCCTCCTGGAGTGGCAGTGGTTTTCACCCTGACTGCACACTGGAATCACAGGGAAGCTTTTCAGAAATCCTGATGCTGGCTGGGCGCAGTGGCTCACACCTGTAATCTCAACACTTTGGGAAGCCGAGGCAGGTGGATCACTTGAGGTCAGGAGTTCAAGACCAGCCTGATCAACATGGTGAAACCCCATCTCTACTAAAAATACCAAAAAAAAAAAAAAAAGCCAGGTGTGGTAGCACACACCTGTAATCCTAGCTATTCTGGAGGCTGAGGTGGAAGGATAGCTTGAACCTGAGAGGCGGAGGTTGCAGTGAGCCAGTATTGTGCCACTGCACTCCAGCCTGGGAGAAGTGAGGCTCCATATTAAAAAAAAAGACTGATACCTAGGCCACATCTCAGACCAATTAAATCAGATTTCTGAAGCAGGGCCAAGGCTTATAGTATTTTTTAAAAGCTCCTGACATGACCACACATGGCCAGGGTTGAAAAATCACTGCCGTAGAGGGACAGTCCAACCCAAGTGCGCTGCAGATGCTGGGAGCTGACTTTGGAATTCCAAGAGTCTGGTGCTCCGAGTTGCCCACAAGGTAGGAGGCCCGTGTGCTAACCCTGAAGGGGAAGAGGGTTGGCAGGCATTTGCACCTGCTCATGAAGAGGAACGCAGGGTGGGATAAGTAACAACTGAGATGGGGGTGAAAGAGCTTTGAGAACCTAGCCCATGGGCTTCTACAAGGGGACTGGGCAGGGCTACCTAAGGTGATCTGTCTGCTGCTCTCATACCCTCTTCTTTCTGCCCACCCAGAGGCAGGCTGGTAGGATAGAAAGAACCTGGGGGCTTTGCTGAGCTTGAGTTTCTTCTCACTGAGTTGGTTACCAAGGCAACAGAGAGAGCAATAGGATCTAACTGAAGAACTGGGGAAGCAAGAGGCAAGGGTAAAGGGGCAACACCCAACACTCAGACCTCCTGCCAGTAACCCACCCCCAAGGCTGGTTGACATTCTTTGCATGACCCTGGGAGATCAGGCCTACATCATCCATCACACTGGGGAAGAGAAGCAAACTGTCATAATTTAAAGAGGAATTAGGGTCCCAGCACAAGTGAAGGTCCTCCTAGAGTGGCAGTGGTTTTACCCTGACTGCACACTGGAATCACAGGGAAGCCTTTCAGAAATCCTGATACTGGTTGGGCGTGGTGGCTCACACCTGTAATCCCAGCATTTTGAGAGGCTGAGCCGGGATCACCTGAGCTCAGGAGCTTGAGACCAGCCTGGCCAACATGGTGAAACCCATCTCTACTAAAAATACAAAAAAATGTAGCCGGGCTTGGTGGCAGGCACCTGTAATCCCAGCTACTTGGGAGGCTGGGAGAATCACTTGAACCCAGGTGGTGACGGCTGCAGTGAGCTGAGATCCTGCCACTGCACTCCAGCATGGGCAACAGAGCGAGACTCCGTCTTAAAAAAAGGGAGGGGGGGCAGACGTGGTGGCTCATGACTGTAATCCCAGCACTTTGGGAGGCCAAGGCAGGCAGAACAAGGTCAGGAGTTCAAGACCAGACTGGCCAACATGGTGAAACCCCGTCTCTACTAAAAAATAGAAAAATTAGCTGGGCATGGTGGCTCATGCCTGTAATCCCAGCTACTTGGAAGGCTGAGGTAGAATTGCTTGAACCAGCATCTGGGAGGCAGAGGTTGCAGTGAGCCAAGATCATGCCATTGCACTCCAGCCTGGGTAACAGGGCAAGACTCTATCTCAAAAAAAAAAAAGGAATTAGAGATGCGGGACAGGGATCAGGAAAGTCATGGTCCTCTGGCTGTGTGGCAGCAACACCAAGGGATGGGGGAAGCCCCATCTGTCATTATAAGATGCACCATAGCTGGGCACAGCAGCTCAAGCCTGTAATACCGGCACTTTGGGAAGCCCAGACAGGAGGATCACTTGAGCCCAGGAGTTCAATACCACTCTGGGCAATAGAGACCTTGTCTCTACAAAAATAATAAAAATTAGCTACATGTGATGGTACATGCTTGTGGTCCCAGCTACTTGAGAGGCTGAGGTGGGAGGATTGCTTGAGCCCAGGTGGTCAAAGCTGCAGTGAGCCATGATAGTGCCACTGCACTCCAGACTGGGCAATAGTACAAGACCAAAAAAAAAAAGATGCACTATGATGTCCATGCCTCCAGTGTATGGATTTGTGAAACTTAACAAATGTTGCTAGCTCCACATGAAACTCAATTGCTCTCCCATACCAGGGATAGCCTCTGTAAACTTCCATCCCACCCAGGACCTGGAGGAAAAAGTCACTTCAAAGGTAGAGAACTGCCCTCTAAGGATCAGAGGCCAAGTGATCTAGGTAAACTGCAACATGAGCCACAGTTAGTCTTTCAGTTTTCCTTCCCCTTACCTGACCTAATTGGTAAGTCTCCCAAAGACTGTGCTCCTTAATACTTTGTAGGCATCTTTATTTTTCAAGAAAGCTAGATACTTGCACTTCCCCCTAGCCCAGGACTTGGTATAGTTATATTGACATCTGATGGCACATTACTTTGGGAAACTTACTTGTCAAACACAAAGGAAGCCATAAAGGATACTAGATGCTCATGTGAATAAGCAGCATCTCACTATTCTGTCCCTGACACTTCCAATCTAAGGGATTGCATGATATCCTGGTCATCTATATGGTTAAAAAACATAATTGATGAGGAATGAAGACACATTCACGGCCTCACAGGGGCTCTTCATCTCTGGGCTTCTGTTTCACAAGTCTAGGTTGGCCTGAGTTGTGGCTGTGACCCTGTGGGAGAATTAGGAAGTCCTCTTCCCTCCCTCCCGAATCAAGACTCATGCAAAACATCGGCAAGGTTGTCAAGTTTATAGACTAAATTTTATTATCTCCATGTCACAATGGTGATCACAGATGTGCAACCTTTAAAACAGTAACAAAAACACCACCGCACATGGAAAAATCCTTGCAACTAAACACAGTGGACCAACAGAGACAACTCTCACAGTGTCTTAAGGTCTGGGAATCTGGGGATGCTGCCCACAGGCTTGAGGAGACATCTTCAGGTTTAAGGCAAAGGGAACAGCCTACAAAAGGCACAACCACCAGCTACCCCTGGAACAATCTCTTAATTTATTTCCTCCTTGGGGGTTACAGATTAAGTGCCTCTCCCCCATCCCCATCCCACACCTGTGACTCAAGAGTGGTTAGGCCAGCTGCTAGAGGGAAGGAATAAAAACAGACAGTGACATTACCGGGGAGAGAGACAGCTACCATCTTCGCTCTCAGGTTCTGTAGAAGGACAGGGACAGTGGCCAAGTTACCCCTGGCAGATGGAAGTACTGCAATAACAGGAATCTCTTCCATAGAGGCAGCAGAGAAGTGGTTTAGTGCCATGGTTAGGGAGGAAAGATAGAAGCCCTTGCCCAGAAGGTGACTGGCTTCCTTAGGCCTTAAGCCCAGA